GGCGGCCGCGGGAGCCGGGCTGCCGGTGATAGCACCAGGGCCCGCTTTAGATGCCATCCTCTGAGCGGTGTGAGGCACCTGCAGCTCGCTGGCCGCACGCGTTTCTCTCACACCCCCTCCTGCCAAACGGCGTTTGTCTTGGCAGCGGGGACGGGTCCCTGCCGCGCCTTTGGCTGTGGTGGGAGCCAGGCACAACGCAGCGAGTCAGCGTTAGCGTTCACGTGTTCTGAGTATAAACAAGCAAGGGCTGCACCAAGTTTCATAAGTATTTTTGGAAAGGTTATTCTGGTCCAGGGGAATATTTCTCTTCCAGTGGAGATTTGTGAAACTTTTAACAGTGTGCTTGGAAAGGAGAGTTTTCCTTCTGCCGAAAATGAAAGCTACAGCCTCTACAAGCTTTCGTATTTTCTAGTGAGGTTCAGGGTTTTTCTCTGCACAGCTGATCACCTAACTGAAGTTGTGCAGACACCGGCAGAAGCGTGCTGGTGATTTCTTTAGAGATGCAATAAATAATCATAAACCTGGAACAAACAAAACAAACTCCAGGTTTCTCATTGGTGTTGATAGGACTGGGAGACAGATTGATGCATGCATCTTTACATCTGAGTGCAAGCCAATACAGTGATTATGCAAAGCCTGATGTAATTTTTAATGCCATGATGTGATGAGTGTGCATTTCTAAAGAATGCAGGAAACACTGAAATAAATTTGCCTCCAAAATTAACAAAACTCATTTTTTTTTTTCTAAATCTTGAGGTGTTTCTATGAAAGGTTGAAAATACCAAAGAAAGTACTGTGTTTCAAAAAAACAAAGTGTGTTAACACCTTAAAAATCTGAACCATAACCCTTTATGGTACTATTGCTAAACCAGCAATATAAGTGGCATCTGCATCACTAATTTGGTGTTTGTAGGGGCGTCTTCAGCTGTTGGAGGGCAGACAAGAACTAAAGTCTTGGCAATGTATTATGTTCACCTTTGGATGGAACACTGTGCCTGATGAATTTGATGTTTTTCAATAGCTTGCTTATCTCCTCTAGCTATCTTGGTACCTAATGCTGCTGAAGTATTCTGCTACAGAAATGTGAATTCATCACGAAAATATTACTTGTGCCACTTCATTTGTAAGAGGCTGGATAATTGCTTACAGAAACTGTAAAGCAATTCATGCAGTAAAGGTGATCTTTCTCCCTTGTCCATACAAAGGTTATGGATGTGAGAATTCCAATTATTTTTTAGGTAATATGGAGAAGGTTCATTCTGTGGAGTATGTTCAGAGAGCAGTACCTCTCTAGTTGAAATTATGAGTTCTCTATTATTAGATTACTAATGTTTTTTATGCTAATGTTACAAACACTGCTCTGGAGAGCCACCTTTCCTGGCATGCAAGTGACTAGGCTGACAAAGAACACACAATTTACAATGCCACCTGTCTGTTGGAAATTTTTCAAACTACCTGAGAAGTAATTTGCATTTATGATGATCTTGTGATTTTTCAAGAGGTACCAAATTAGGGTTCATGCAGCATACAAGTTTGCCTCATTAATTTCTCTAAGATTTCACATGTAAGGGAAAGTTAAACATTTCAGACTATTACCGTTCTTTTTTACAGCATTCTTCTGTATATAATGATGATTTGCCATACAGTCCCCTTGAGATATATTTTTATATATGTATATATCTCATCAGTTAGCCTCAGTTCTCCAGTGCTGCTGCACAACTTTTGCCATTACACTGTAGATGTATTTACAACATCATTTACAATTATTTTTTTTTTACAATTGTCATTTAATTTTTGTTACAAGAATAAGTAGAAAGTTCTTGATTCTTGTAATTTTAGATGTTTATGGGGTTTAATGACATCTGTTCAAATGGTATTTCCTTTTTCTTTTCAGTCTTTCTCCATGGGTGCCAGTTGTGGGTCTGGAAATTCATGCACAGATCAGTTCCAATTCAAAACTTTTCTCTGGTTCCCAAGTCCAGTTTGCAGCACCTCCTAACTCTTTAGTGTCCTTCTTTGATGCTTCTTTACCAGGAACTTTACCAGTAAGTTATGCTTCAATTTAATTTATGTCGGGATTAATGTCAGACAGCTTTGAGTATGTTTATAATGTTTTGTTCTTCACCAGGTTTAACTGTAGAATGACTTTTACATATTTTTCTATTTTATGGTTGTTTCATAACATGGGATGCCTAGTACTGCTTCTTTTCAGTTTACTCATTCCTTGGTTATCATTACAGATAATTGATATCTTCTGCAAATGGAAAAATGAGTGTCTCTTCTACCTATTGAATGAATCACAGTATTTATCCAAGGCCAGAGAGTGTGTATTTGATTAGTATGCTACACAGGAAATTCCTTTAAATATGAGAGACACTTAAAATCCTGTGAGAGAAGAACATCTTAAATTTCTGAGTGGCCATTTTTCTTTGGTATATGTTTGCTTTTGTAGCTGTCATTTCCCACTTGGAACATCTCACTGTGGAGGTACCTTGTTTCCTAGGTAGAAAGTCTCTGATTTAGGAAAGTGTCAACTATTCCTATTTCCAGAGCAAAACAATTATTTTTTTTTAAAAAAAACAAACAACCAATAGTCTGTGTGACACATTGTAGACTAGTAATTCAGAAGAGCTAGCTAGCACTTAGCAATGAGATTTATTAGTGACGACGTAATAAATTGAGTCACAGCGTAATGTTAACTCTCTGGTGGCTATGACAGTACTGCTGTAGACTTCTCTGGCTATTGTAACAAGTTTAATATAAAAATATTCATTCAAAAAGTGTAATGCAAGCTCTTACTATAGAGTGAAAATAAATACTGAATAGACTCACATTGCCTCATGCCACAAGCATGCAGAGACTATAATGAAGCTAAATTATTTAATACAAAATAATTTATTGTTTCACTGAGTAGAGGTTTGAATTCAGTTATGTTGGTTTTTTTTTTTTTAATCTGTTGGAAGCTTTTCATCACCATAATACAGCTTTAAGTAATATTCTGAAATTGAGAATGAACTTAGAGCTGGATTTCTAGGGTCTCAATATATGCCATGTGACCCTTAAAGTGAGAAATGAGTTGATAATATTCATTCTAGATTTGCAAAAGTACTGAAACCTAAGGAAGTGAAGTTTAGATGCTGATGAAATTTAGACTTGACTCAGGTCTCAGAGGAAATTCAGGTATGAGTTTCAGATCTAACTCTGGAAATTTTTGAAAACTTTCCAAAGAGATTGGGAATTTTATGCAAACGTTTGGTTTTAGAAGAATCTTGTTAGACTTAAAAATGGAAAATGAATTCTTTTCATTTGGGGACAGAGGTAGGTTAGGGAGCTAATAATCACAAGACTGTTTTAAAGGGTTCAAGATTTGCTTTTAGACCTTCTGCTTAATGTTCTGTGGATGCAGAAATCCTCATAAATTATCTAAACCTTATCTTCAGTTGAGTAGAAAAACTGTTCTTGAATGAGTAAAAATGAGTATTTATGAAAAGTTTCATTTTTATGTATGCTGCTATTTATCTGGGAGGGTTTTTTTTTCTTTTTCCTCTGTTAAAGTGCTTTCCAAATGAGGCTTGTGAGAAAACCCCAATACACATGGGCTTTGGCAGAGAGTGTAACTGCACCTGAGAAACAAAAAGCAATATGGTTAGGCTATTTTAAAAAGTAGTAATGCTGTGTTAGCTTCTACCAGCTGCTTTTATCTATATCAAGAGAAGAAGAATTTTTCTCACTGTAGTACTGGTGAAAATGCTGTTGGAAGTGAGCGTTAAAAAATACATGTTCTTTCATGTTATAATGTGATACAAGAGCCAGTCAGTAGTTGTAGCTTTATTTTTGCCTGTACTTGCCACATGGGAATTAATGTTAGAGACCAATATTTGTTCTGGTATCAAAAAGTTGGGCTTGTTTTTGTGAAATAACCGTATGTGTTTGTATATAGCAGCAGTATCTGAAGTAGAGGTGGATTTTGAAAGATAGAAGGCAGTTTTTGGACGTTTCCAATTACTTGTAAACAGCCACAAAAAAACATTTTAACAATTAAGGTTATTACCTAATAAGTCATTTTATAAGGTAAGTATTTGGCTTTCCCTTTTGACTCTGTTTTGTGGAAAATCCAAAAAAAAATAAATAAAAAAGGCAGTTTTAATACAGTATTTGTGCTGTCTGTAGCAGAGAAGAACAGCTCTAATAAAATAAGAATTATAGTGGCATTTGCCAGTGTCACAGGGTTTTAAATTTACCGTGAGAGCAGGAGATGGTTGTAGTAGATGTCTGTATTTGGTGCTTCACAATGAGACCAGAAAGAATGGTGCTAAAGGAAGCCTTTCTGCTTGTTATACATTTCTGGGTCACTAATGAGTGTGGGCGTGAGCCTTTGCTGTGCTCTGCATGTGAGAGGGGAAACTAGAAGAATGTGTTTAGCCCTCCTTCATCTTTCCTCTGTTTTCTTTCTGTATTTTAATACAGCTCATTTGATGCTTTTGCTGCAAGTAGGCCTTAGTATGACCATCACTGTGTCAGTGTTGTGGCCATTTCACTGTGCTGCTCTCATAAGGTGCCTCTGAGAGACAGCTACAGGCAAGAGCAGCTATTGAGGTGCACTCTTGTTTGGCGTGACACAGAAAATGATGTGGCAAAGCTTTGATTAAAAAGGTAGATTTAGAAGTAGTGAGACTGGACGACACATCCCGTGCTACTCTGCATGCTTTTTTTGTGCCCCGTGGTGATGGAGTCCCTCCACTAGACCAGGTACAGCATCTTACTCAAATTACTGTAAGGATCTCCTTTCTTTGTCGTGACATGACTACGTGCGCACATTTCATGTAACAAATTGTGCAAAGGCCTAGGGTTTTTACCTGGTGAATAAACTTGGCAATGATCCTAGCTTGGTATCTTTAGAGGATCTGTTATAAAGAAAGTTTTATGCTACACCTAGTGGCAAATAGTGCATCATACCTGCAGATGGATCTAAAATTCTTTTGAGGATCTGTAGAGGTGGTCGCACTCTTAGAAAATTCTGCAGATCTTTATAAAGGTGTCTAAATATAAGACTGAACTCATAGGAAGAGAATCCATGATTAGCTAATCTCATGATTGAGGTGGCTGACTAAAGGTTAATTACAGCTCAGCGACAGAAATAAGATGGTAGATCTAGTAGCTAAAGGCTGAAACCTTTTTGTCTGTTCTTACAGTCTTTGCTACTTATCACACGAAAAGATCCGTATTTTACATTTGTCTCCGGCATGACTAAAGTGAAATCCTGATCCTATTTCTTTGTAGGCAGACATACTAAAAAATAATCTAGGATTTACAATATCCAAGGTTTAAATTAATGAGATCTGAATGAATGTTGGCCCCAAGCATTTACATATTTTGAAATTTTCGACACCTTTTTGTGCATGTGAATTTCATTCTCCTCACAGCATGAGCAGTGTCTGTTTTTACCTTTTTTAAGATAGTTTTCTGAAGCACTTAGTAATGATCAGGCTCTTTCCAATGAGGAAAAGGTAAGTACCTTCTGATAACCACAAGCAGTAAGATCTATGTTGAACACTGCTCTAGAATATCATGCGAGGTATGTGGTTTTATCTGAACACAGTTTTTTTTTCTGGTACCACTGGATATCCTTGAGAGCTTGACAACTCGCTCATTGCCGCTCTGTCCTATACTGAGATTTTTATAACCTTTTGTTTTAAGCTCCTTTTGTTTTGTCTCCATAAATCATAGAATCATTAAGGTTGGACCTGTAAGATCATAAAATCCAACTGTCAACCCAAGACTACTATGACCACTAAACCATGTCCCGAAGTACCACATCTACACCTTTTTTAAACACCTCCAGGCATGGTGACTCCCAGTGACTACTATAGTGTCTAACACACTATTAGTGTTAGAAGGAAGCATTTTTGAGTCCTACTGTATTACCTCTCACCTGTAGAATGACAGTCGGACAACCAGACAAGTCTCCTCATGGAATAAAGCAGGGCTAGAACAGCTAATAACCCTTGTTCCTTGTGGTATTGCACTGACAACTTAAACTGGAAACTGAGGAAGCTGAGGAGTGTCACTGCAACACTGCACAGTAGCCAAGCACATGTGTCATGCTCTTGCCTTCCCCACTCTGCAGTGCTGCACTGTTGAAATGGCTTCCCAGGGATGTGACAGGGTTATACCTAATTTGGGGATGTAGAGGCTGCTTTAGTTCCCCTTCCTATATTGACACTGCAGCCTTGGCAGTGGCAGATAAGTGTTTTTCCAGATACCTTGGGTGATAGAGTATCAGACTTCCGTGATTAATTTTAGCTGTTACTCATATGCAGAGTTTACCTTATGCATTTGCTTTCAAAAGCACTAAGAGGTTTGTGTGAGCTTTTGGTGGATCTGTCTGTCAACTACACATACTAGAACAGAAACAGCATTTGAGACCAGAATTTATACTTTACAGCTTCAAACTATATTTTTTTTATATATATATCTTTTGCCTGTTAAATCTAGCGATTGCAACAGCTGCTTTATGAACTTGTGATTTCAGTTTTGTTTTGACATTCTTGCTGGCATATATGTGAATTTACTTCCTTCTTGTACTCCACTTTGGAAAAAACCTGCTTCTTAGTTTGACTTTTGATAACTACATTTTTAATTGCATGGGGCTTTCTTGAGAAAGTGGACAATCTTCTGATCTTTGTATGAATGTTGGTTTAGCTTCCATTACATAAATTTTCTTCTCTTCTTTGAAACCATGTGATACCTAGTGGATTGTGTGCAGGAACTCAACTGCTCAGTAACTGCTTGGTACTTTCTTCAGTAAAACTGTAATGATTGTACTTAGAGGGGGAAAAAAGGAGTTATTTTCTTAGCAATTGATGGTACCTTTCTATTGCTGTCCTTTCTTTCCTGATAATACTTGGGTTTGTGACATGCATGGTATCGTCACTGGTTAACAGTCTTTTGTTGTTCACCCAATTCCAGCTTGCTGGACTTGCAGTCCCAGTAAGCCTCTAAAGATAAAATCCTGCATAATTTTGACAAAAACTGGGAGAGTGAA